AAAAAAAAGTTTTATCAATTTATGTTCACACTATTAATATGTAAGTGCCTGCTGCCTCATCCCTGTGTCTCCTCCCATAGCATATTATAAACCTTTTTGAGCTCTGCCAGTCTGTTAAGAATGGTATTTTATCTTGGTTTTTACCTACATACTTCCTACTGCGAGGAACATTTAAACATTTCTACATATGTTGACTGCGAACTGCCTGTTTGTTCTGTTACCTATTTTTTTAACCTATTTCTAAGATGTGTTTACTTATTTAGAGAGAGCAAGAGCTCAAGCGTGTACATGAACAAGGGGTGGGCAGAGAGGAAAGATACAGAATCTCAAGCAGGGTCCGCGCTGTTAGCGCAGAGCCTGATGCCAGGCTTGATCTCATGAACCACAAGACCGTGACCTGAGCCAAAATCAAGAGCTAGGACGCTCAACCAAGTAAGTCATCCAGGTGCCGCTGCCACCCCCCCCCCCGCCTCTGCCTTTTTTAAACCTACTTTTGATATTATTTTTCTGTTTTTATATAGTAAGGTAATCTCTTTACCACACGTTTTGCAAATATCATCTCCCATTTTGTGAATTTAGAGTAGTTTATACTTCAGAAAATTTCCTGACTGTTAAATTATAAAAATTCAAATGACAGAAAGTGGCAACAATGTAATGAACCTTATACTTTGCAGGGAGATTGACCAAATGTTAACTTTTCCCAAGATTTACTTTACATCTCTTTCTAGATCTAAAAACACCCACACAGTAAATACTTGACTGACCCATGTGAGTTAGTTGCAGACATCACACCTTACTCCTAGAGAGGTGTGTGTGTCTCCTAGAACAGGCAGTTGCCTGCCTAACCAAGCGGGTCACGCTCAGGAAGACTAACATGAAATTCCACACTACCAATAAGCAGTCCATATCCAAACTCACTCAATTACCCAGTAACACAATTTCGATTTTTTTTTAAGCTCCTTAAATTCAAGATCTAACCGAGGACCACATACTCCCATTGGGACATCTAGTTATTCGCCATTAAGGTATCTGGATCTGCCCAGCCTTTTGCATTACGTTGGTATCGGGCTTTTAGCAGAATCCAGGCCAGCTGTTTTACACCATGCCTTTACATTTGGATTTGTCTGATTGACGCCTCGTGATTAGACTTAGGTACACATATTACTTAAGTGATACTGTGGCTTTTATGGTGTACCACAGCAAAAGGCAATAATGTTCAGTCTGTCCATCACTGATGGTATAAACTTAATCACTGGGTTATGATGGTACTTGCTAGGTTTTTCTACTGTAATGGGACCTTTCTCTCTTTTCACCCACCATCCATCCATCCATCCATCCACTTAAAAATGTTTATTAGTTTTGAGAGAGAGAGAAAGAAAGAGATCAGCAGGAGACAGGCAGAGAGAGGGGAACAGAGGATTAAAGCGGGCTCTACACTGACAGCAGAGAGCCCGATGTGGGGATCCAACTCAGGAACTGTGAGATCCTGACCTGAACAGAGATGCTTAACCGACTGAACCACCCCAGGCGCCCCTTCCTTTCTTTGTAATTAGTAAACTGAAGGGTGGTATTTTAAAAACTGGGCAACTACCCTGTTCTCCCACAGTCTTGCATCGGCTTGTTCAGGTATCTGAGAATTCGTATTGCCTGAAGCAAATACTACTGGATTGATGTGAGTGTTTTTCTGTACTACCACTCCTGCTTTAGCTGGCATTCTTCCGTAAATAAGGACTATATAGTAAAACTGTAGTTATGTTCATGAATATTTTTTTAGTAGGTCTGGGATTTAAGTCATCCTTAGAAAGAATATTCCTAGTTGGAGATTATTATTAAAGTACATTAAGTAGAGTACGTTTACAGTTGTTTTCCTAGTAAGAAGGGCACTTCTGTTTTGTTTTGGCTTAGAGTAGTGATTACTTTTTATCATGGCTCATTTAGAGCAGAGTCGGCCTCCATGGGTTCACTAACCCACTAATTTTCACTACTGGGTTTTTACAAGTTTCCACTGGTTGTGGAGAAAAATAGAACTCTGGGCACTGTTGTTCCAGGGGCTGAGGGGGAGCTTCCGTTTCTCACTCCCCAGCCCACCTCTGATGCAAAAAGTGGATGGTTTAGGAAGGAGCAGGATAGGTGATGCTCACTCAGAAGGTTTTCCTGTTCTCACCACCTGCTTTACACCATGCAGCTCGTCGTGCTAAGCAACAAGGAGGTCAAGGGAAGAAAAGGGCAAGTGTTTTTCACATACAGACTGGCAACCAGGTCAGCTGCAGCTCAGTGGCTTGGACTCCACATTTTAAAATAACAGCATCACATGTGCCTTTTTGATTTATGTCCTTTTAAAAAGGTACATTGTGGGGGCACCTGTGTGGCTCAGTCAGCTAAGCGTCCAACTTTGGCTCAGTTAATGATCTCACAATTCACAGGTTCGGGCTCCGCATTGGGCTCTGTGCTTACAGCTCAAAGCCTGGAACCTGCTTCGGATTCTGTGTCTCCTTCTTTCTCTGCCCCTCCCCTGCTTGCACTGTCTCTCTCCCTCTCAAAAATAAACAAACATCAAAACACTTTTTTTTAAATAATAAAAATAAATTTTTTAAATGTTTATTTTCAAGAGAAAGAGAAAGAACGGGAGCAGGGGAGGGGCAGAGAGAGAGGGAGATACAGAATCTAGAACAGGCTTCAGGCTCTGACCTCTCAGCACACAGCCTGATGTGGGGCTCAAACTCAAGAACTGTGAGATCATGACCTGAGTTGAAGTCGGACACTCAACCAACTGAGCCACCAAGGTGCCCCAGGGATCTGACTCATGATCCTGACTCAGGTCATGACCTTACCATTTGTGGGATTGAGCCCTGAGTCAGGCTCTGTGCTGACAGTGTGGAACCTGTGTGGGATTCTCTTTGCCCCTCCCGTGCTCTCTCAAACAGAAAATAAACTTTAAAAAAATAAGACAATGGTTTTTCATTTGAAATTGATTTTTAATGTTTATTCATTTTTGAGAGACAGAGCACGAGTGGGAGTAGGGCAGAGAGAGAGAAACACACACATGCAGAATCTGAAGCAGGCTCCAGGCTCTGAGCCATCAGCACAGAGCCCAATGCGGGGCTCAAACCCATGAACTGTGAGATCATGACCTGAGTTAAAGTTGGACAGTCAACCAACTGAGCCACCCAGGAGCCCCTCATTTGAGA